TCTTCTTCTTCTTCTTCTTCTTCTTCTTCTTCTTCTTCTTCTTCTTCTTCTCCTCTCCTCTTCTCCTCCCACTCCTCCGAAGTTCTTCTTCTTCTTCTTCTTCTTCTTCTTCTTCTTCTTCTTCTTCTTCTTCTTCAGAGTAGAGATAGAGGTAACTGCAGACATTGTTTTGACACGGCATTCTGCCTTATTGGACACGACATTCAGATCGGACTTACGCTCTACACTGGGATTGAACGGTGTACGACATTCGGAGATCAGACTTGGGTTGGACTTGGTTACCTCCTATGTCCCTCCCCCTTCTCTCTCGCATGTCTATGGATCTCTCCCCATGTGTGTGAGTGGAAGGGCAATCTTTCTGATGTCTTGCCCTTCCGAAGTTTCTCCCTTTTCATGTTTGTTGTCCACGTGTCCTTTTGATACTAAATCTTCCGCTGCGCTGCTTCCCAGCCCATGATGATAATGATACGAATGTGTTGTTGTTGAATTCTCGTGGTTCACTCTTTGCCTCGTGCACATTGACATCTTGTGAATGCTGCACCTATGCTACTGGTTGTTGCCACTTTCGTCATTGCTAGATCCTAGGCTTTCAGTGCATTTCACTTTCTGATATGCTACACCATGTTTGGACGGGTCATCACATGCACCTGAAACGGTATTCACCTGTTCGCAGTAGCGGATGCAGATCCCAGGGCTCGATCCGTAGTCCTTACCTTACCTGTGTACACTAACTGTATCGACCCCGAGAGTTGAACCCGTGACCTGTCTATTCGTAACAGTTGGTAGACTGTTGTAGGGGTTCGATCTGTAGACCTGTTGTTTGTAGGTCTTAGTAGGTCCTAGAAGTCGTAGCTGTAGGACTTCTGAAAGGGCAAGGTCGTAGCTGCTACAGTCCTGAAGGGTCAAGGTCGTAGCTGCTACAGTGTCGAAGGGCCAAGTCCACAGACTTCCGGAAGGTCCGGAAGTGGCCCTTCACACGTTGCTCGCCAGAAGCAAGTGGGCAAGTGGTGGAGTCCCCACCTGTGCTGAGTCAGCGGTACCCAGTCCCAGTCAGTCCTAGTCTAGTCAAGCAAGTACCGTATGGGACTGTGTGCACCACGGGCATGGAAAAGGGGCAGACCAACGAGTTACAGGAGTATAAATCAAGAGGCAGCGCCCAGCCATTCATTCATTCCTGCGTAAGCCATGCGGAAGCGCTGCCACAGCGACTTGTGCGAGGTGGTAGCCATAGCGGTAGAGGTAGCCATAGCGGTAGAGGTAGCAGGTAGAGGTAGCAGCGGCCATAGCCGCCATAGCTGAGAGAAGGTTGTAGCGTGTGTGTGCGTGTGTGTACAGTGAGTTGCGTGTGGGATATCCAGGGTGATCCTGTGTGTGAGCAGCAGAGTTGGGTGAGTGACGAACAGAGAGTTGTACAGGCGCTGATGCGCCATAGCCATCTGAAGTGAGCTTGTATCTGAACTGTGTTCTTGATTACCATATCTCTAAGTCCTGAACAGGGAAGTCCTCCTCGGGGACATCCGTTAAAATTGGAACGACACAAAGAAGCATCGACTCCTTATGGAATCTTAGGTGTCAAGGTGTGGGTCTCATATTCAAAAAATCAACCAAAACACACATATGCTCTAATATACAAAACGTACAAAATTTCGTAAATATCAGACAGGAAGAAGCAAAGGCTCCCACGCGGCAGCACAACTTGGTTTTGGAAAATATGTTTTTAACACTTTTTTGTGGTTTTTTTTTTTTTTTTTTTTTTTTTTTTT